GGCCTTGAACACTTCCAGGAATGGGGCATCCACAGCTTCTCTGGGCAACCTGTTCCAGCGCCTCCCCACCCTCTCTGAGAAGAATTTCTTCCTTACATCTAATCTAAATCTCCCTGCTTCCAGTTTAAACCCGTTACCCCTTGTCCTGTCACTACAGGCCTTTGTAAAAAGTCCCCCCAAGCTTTCTTGCAGCCCCTTCAGGCACTGTAAGTTGCTATAAGGTCTCCCTGGAGCCTTCCCTTCTCCAGGCTGTCCCCATAGCAGAGGTGCTCCAGCCTTCTGAGCATCTGATGATCTGATCACTAAGAATAGGCTTAAGCATATTTGATGCTGCTTATAAGGTTGGCTACAGGACAAACTGTTGAAAATTCATTTAAGCGAATGTTTAAGGGAAAAAAAAAAATCAGGATACATTGTTTGAAATTGAACTGAACATTCTTTTCTGTAAATTAGCATTTAAAATCATGTTATGCCATACTGTTACTCCCCCTTTCACAGTTCACCTCTGACTTAAGAGCAAACACTTTCTGGCAGCAAATTTAGTTCTGCCTGTGGATGCAACAGCAGCAGCAGCGATCACCTGCAGATCTGCTAAGCATTTGCAACATTCCCACATTCAAAGTTCTGTAAACTATAACGAGGAAGGTGTTTTCATGCTCTAGCTTAAAAATTGCAAACAGCCTTAGAGTACTGGGATTTCAAAAACCAAAGCGAACGAAATACATACAGTCTCGTAGAAATCTAGGATGAAGTACAGCAATAAAGAAGAATTGTTTTCCAAATGCAATCCAATGGTAGAGATCCACCCAACAAAACGGATCAGTTTAGCCACCCCGTTCACTACTCCAGAAAGAGTGGTATTCCTGCAGGAACGACACGACACAACGTTAGTATATTTGCACAGGGTAAAAAGGAAAAGCAGTAAAAAAGAAATTGAAGTTGATCCCCCACCAAACATTCAGCAACACTCATTTGTTCTTCAGTATACCCAGGAACACTGTTACCAACATTATTACACACATGATCCAGCTGTCAGCATCACAAGGATGCTGACTTTGGACATGTCAATAGAAATATGTATGAAGAACAAACAGGACCGGCAAGGTAGCTTACGACGTAGCAGAAACATTACAGCGTTATTAACCTAGTCAGCCGTCGTGCTGGGTAACGGGGACAGAACATACACCTAAAGGCAAAAGTGAACCACATGCAGGACTATCACACTTATTTCAGACCAACTTACAAAGAACAGACTTGCGATTCAGCCTCTGAGTCCACGTGAATCACGTGCCAGTTTAACCAGTTCTGCAACAGCTCTTTCAGGCTCTCAAGAACGCTGCACTACAAGAGGCCAAAAGAAAACAGGCTGGCAACAATTTATCACATTAATATGACTGAACAGTGTCATGAGGATTGACACACAGGAGATGAAGAGTTTCTCAGGACCACAAGGAGCAGTGAGAGAATTGCATGTGCCCTCGAACTGCATGTATGCATTGCAGAGCTTTTCCTGGAGAATGTGAATTCCAAATACCAAGTTAAAATTGCAATAAAACAAACCAACTGTTTTGTGTAGTCTCCGTTCTTTTTATTTCCAGTGCCCTAGTTTAATTCCTGCCAAAAAAGATATCTTAAAGGCACTCAAATTCCCAAAGTTACATGGTAAGTATATATATTTTACCCCCGTTTGGGCACAGACTTCCCCAAAAGATGACTTCTACACAATCCCTCAGACCACTACACCTGACACAAGTACAGACAGCAACATCAACTAGAAGTAAACAGCTACTGTGCTCACTTAAATTACCTTAAAGTACAGGGATGATGTGAAAAAGAGCTGCGCCAGGGGATGACAGAGGTGTGAATTCATTTCTGAAACAAATGGGAAAGCAGCATGATACCTCTGCACAAATTCTATCGCCCAAGATCAGACATTCCCCAGCCTCACCCTAAGGATCTGCAACACATACCAGAGAAGCTGCTGAGGGAGATCCAACTCACAAGTTTGAGGATTTGTGATCGGCAGCAGCAGCCATCCCAGAGAGGAAGGCTCTTAAACAGGAACTCTTCACAGGCAGGAAATCCCTCCTACAAAGCAGAAGACGAAGATTCAAAAAACTCATCTCGTATGCCTGCACCTTACCATGCTTCCTTCACCCTGCAGGAAGAGGCTTACACCTCCTTCCTGACACGCAATTCACCAGGACATTCAAATTCTCATTCTCAATATCACTATCAAGTTACCTTTCCAGCAGAAAACCAGGCCATCTCCAGAATATTGACTTGCTATAGGAACAGTATTTGTTGAAATGCTCACTTCTCAGACATACTACAGGAAACAGTTAAGTCCCAAAAGTACTTTAAGAGAAGACTTTGTGAAACCTTTGGCTTTCACAAAATCCACACTTACATGCAAGAAACACTCTGTCTTGTAGATAGTTTCAAGGAAGTCCTTGAATTCTTCTTCATATCCAATATTATCAGCCACACACCAGGTGCATTCTAAACAGGAAGGAATACTCTCTTTGAATATGACCACAGAAAGAATAAGCACAATCAGAAACAAGATTCAGCTCTCCTCTGGTAGTTGTTTTAACGCTATGTGGTTATCACTATAAATCTGAACAGCAAAGTAGCATTATTGCAAGGTGAAAAGCCTCAGACATCCTTTCTCTCCCTACAAAGCAAGGTAATACAAAGTTCCTACCTTCCTGAAGAGTCTGGCCCATCCAATAGTAGAGCCTCAGGTTAACAGATTCATCTCTGATCCAACTCACATAGTGAAGCAATAAAGGGTTTGTTAGCACTGAACCCATCTGGGAAGGAAACTGTAAGAGAAACCAAGAAAAGATGAGTTACTCAATATTCACATCAGCAAGTTGCCAGAAAATTGCCTTCCTGAAACTCACCTCTAGATTGTGGATATTTTGTAGGAGCTGAGAAAAGTTCTGCAGCTGCTCCACTGGAAGACACCCATTTGTACTGTACAAGTCACCACATCTCTTTTTCCTGTCCTCTTCTGAACTATTTCTGTTTGCAGTGCTTGCAGGTATGATCAACTGACTATTCCATTTCTGTAGAAAACAAACAAGTGAATAGCAGTGACTGTTTCCAATGTTACCAAGTGCACTTGTGACCAGTGTTCCCATAGACCCTGTTTTGCAAAAAGAAAAAGCTATCCAGGCTTTTGTTATGATGGGAATGCTGCATTTCTACATAGCTACTCCCCCCCTTTCTCCAGTGCTGAAATAAAGCCCAACCCCCATGATCTGCCAATACCCATAATGAAAACAGCTGCTTGGCCCCTTCTAGGGTCTACTTTAGGCCCATAACCTACCCTTTTTCGTGAATGAGGTTGAGCTGTGCCTAAAAGCAGCGGCTGGAGCACTGGAGCGCTTTCCTGTTTTCTCTGCCTTAGTCTGTTCATTGCTGCTTTCCAAGGACCCTCTGAATTCCTGAAGTAAGTCTGAAAACAAATCAGACATCTGTGCAAGAAGCCAAACTCAGACAAAGCAACAAAGATCATTTTCTATCCTGATAATCACCACAGTGACATACATGTGTTCAAATCTGCTTGGCAGACCAGGAGGCTGGGTTTGCACTGCACAGAACTCTTGTCACTCCTCAGTTTCATTACCTTTTGACTGTAGTTCAACAGTTACACTTTTATTTCCTG